ACAAAATTTTATTGAAATAATCCGTATTTAGTAGCACCTGAGGAAATGTAGCTTGTGGGATTTTGAAAGCTTTCAAACTGGCAGTGCTATGAACAAAAAACAAATTCCCTAGAGTGGTAGTACTCTGTGAAATGCAATGCTAATGCTACTGTTACTAGACTACAAAAGCAGATTAGATCTTCATTTATTTATATCGACTGCTGTAATTTCCTTAGGGAGAGAGAAAATGAGAAGAGTTGCAGTGGAATGAGTGGGGAGTGCTAGTCCAATGTAATTCTTTTGGGTTCCTGATGGTGGTTCATTTTAAGCATTCTATGTGTACTTGAAGCTCAGACTGAATTGGTGTTTTCTCCCAGGAGGAGACTCTAACCATGCCTGAGAGTTTTCTTCCTTCTAAGGCAAACTTCTGAATCAGCAGCTCATAGTCATCTGGAAGCCTTTTCCTGTCATAGTTGCTAATAGCTAGGCATAGAAGCTGACTCTGTCCTTCCAAAAAAATCCAGTTTTAACAGCAAGTATTTCTATGTCTAGTCTTGTGGTTGTGTGAATATTGTAAATATTGATTTCTGAAGTCCTGGTCAGATACAGAAGCAAAAGACAGACAATGAAATGGGTGGGTTTAATATTGAGCTGTTTTCCCCCCTCCCCTGCCATCTGAGCTCCTCATGCAAGGTCTGGTTTGATTCCTAACTTAGCACTGCAGTGGTTCTTAAGGTTATGTTCAGCTTGAGTTTGTCTTTGCGGGGGAGGGTGGAAGGAGGACAGTGCTTGATGGCTTAGCTATTTAGTTGTCTCTGGGAATACACGTTTTTGCCTTCCCCTGGCTTGCCTCTGTGATTTGATTATCTGGGCTTTTGTTCTTAAAGTGAGTGAATAGAAGGTACTCTGCTAGGAATCTATTCCCTCAGGACCAAAAATCCTTGTTCACAATTAAAGTGGAGCCTAACCATATTCAGGATGACTTTCTTTCATCTACCCTTTCTCAAGCCCTTCTATTTTTTTCCTTTCTGTTCCTTCATTTTTAAGAAGTCTACAACACTCTCTCAGGATTTGAGCCTTATTAACTACAGTTTGGTGAACTCAATAGTAATTATTTCTTTTTCTAGTAACAGGGACTGATTTAGTTTTCTTAATCCTTATTCTACAAACATGAACTAGTGCAGTGAACTATTGGTTTATTGTTATATTTAATGAATATATTAAAGAAAAATTTTCACAAATGGTCCTGTAAATGTCTTAGAAACATCAGTCCAGCTGTGCTCTCTAGAGGCCATAGGTCCTGATTGTCTTCTGCAGAGAGTACTAAGTGGAATGGAGGATTGTTTTCCAAACGTCATGCAAGGGATATCAGGCATGATCTGACTTTGGCAGCTTCAGTGTCCACCCTTGAAGCTTCATGTGGCACATTGTTCTTGCAATGGCTGCAGTCATGATATTCTTCTGGCAATCTCTTGGTCTTGACCAGAAAAGATGCTTTCTACTTTTCAGACCCATGTCACCTAGTCTTACAGGAAAAGACAAAAGGAATGCATTTGGGAATTCAATCCTGTGTTGTGAGAACAGCAGCAAAACATGTATCCCCAAGGTATCTTTACAGGAAAAGAGTGGAAAACAGTTCTGGCTGCTACAGTGGTGGCAGTGTAATGGCAGAGATACAAAATACTTGGATATGTTGTGGAATATGATCAATTTCTGGTGATTATTGGCAGACCTAACCATCAAAATAAATTTAATTTTATATAAAAGTTCACAACTCACAGCACATTGCTTAACAACATCAAACTTGTGTACATGACTTTATCAGTTAATGCTTTTGACATTTACTAATGGCTGTTTTGTGTCAAGATTAAAGCCATAAGTAGTTTTTCGGCTCAGATCCCAAGCTGAGCTTGTTCTGTGGCTGGACATAATTGCATTGCAGATGTTTAATTCATTCCTACTTGTTTTCTCTTAATTCACTCCAGAATACTTTAGCCAAGTGTTGTAGACAGGTAGAAGAATTGTAAAAGAAAGGCCCCTTTTTTTTTTCTTTTAGGACTTTAGGACTTTTTTTTTTTTCCGATACAAATATACAAGACATCTCTGCTGCTAGACTTAGAGGAACAAAAAAAAAAAATTAGGAGAACTAAAAAACCAACCCACCTCTCAAAACCATTTTATATTCAAAAACATTTGGGAAAAAGAAGTTCTGGGAGATATGTCTTTAAATATGCAGTTGAACAAGGTCACCACCACTTAAGCAAAGCCTCCTAGTACAGAGGTTAAAGGAAGCCATGTAATACTGCTGAAACAGAACAAAGTAAATTACTACAGGAGTTAAAACAAGGGTTTAATTGAGAACACATCCATAAACAAAAATACATCCTTGTTACCACTTGTGTACATCCAGGGGTTGCAATCACTGCACCCCATGCAGGTCACAGGCCTTCAGCTGCAGCAGCCCTCTTGTCCATTCTGTCCAATGTGATAGTATCACCCTTGTACTGGGGGACCCAAGCCAGACACAATACCCGAGGTGTGGCTTCAAAAATGCCAGATAAGGCGGGGGGAATTGCTTACCTTGACCTCCTGTTTACACTCTTGACAGTGCATCAAGTTGCTGTTACTACACATCACTGCAAGGGCACTCTAAATTTTTCTATCGCCAAAGGGGGGGGAAAAAAAAAAAAAAAAAAAAAAAAAAAAAAAAAAAAAAAAAAAAAAAAAAAAAAAAAAAAAAAAGGCAGTATACAGGGGTCAACGGTCTTTGCAGATAGTATATTGCTTTGTGGGCAGTGACACATGAGATTTCCTGCACAATTGATCATATGATCATGGAGTCTTACAGTCTTACAGAACACATGGTGTTCCTCTGCAAATAATTTTGGAGGCAGATTTGAAGGGTATCACAGACACTCTATTCCCGGCATGTACATAACATTTTTTTTCTGTTCTATGTGCCTATGCAGGCTATCTGAAATCTGTCACTTTGGGGCCCTATCACTGTTAGTTTATGATATGTGGAAAAAAAAAAAAGAAAAAGAAAAAAAGACACGGTCATAAATTCAAGATACTGAGGTCTTTTATTTAAAAGTCTGTTTTTAGTCATGTGTCCTTGGCAAACTAGCTGCTACTTCAACAACACAATTTGGTAAAAAATAGTAACAATTGGCAGCATCTCTATACAAATGAGACTTTTTTTCCATACAGTATTTCTTTAACAAAACATATTAGAGGTTCTTTCTTTCTAATTGCTGGGATGTTTCCTATATAAGCCCTAATCCTTGGAGTTTTGGCACAGTGGCTCAGCCTGCTGTGGGCTAGCATTTATGAGCAGCCAAATGAAAGGGGAAGCACATATTCCTGGCACCGTCAGATCAGTTTGGAAGGTAAATTGCCTAAGTGCTTGAACATGTTGGCTTGTAGAAATAATTTCTGGCTTGGAAAGTATGGGTTTATGAGTTTCTGAACTAGTGTGCACAAGCTTTTAAATGAGCTTTTGTTTGATCAGTGCTTCTTACCTGTCAGAAAATGAGCAGAATTGCATTCATGAGTGCTTACTCACATCCTGCATTCTCAAACATGAGGGAAAAAAGAATGGTTGAATTATGATAGCAGGAAACCAGAGAAGAGATTTTAGTGGTTCGTTATTGCATTTTTGTGATAGGAAACATCCAAACACTACACTAATGTAATTGGCATTGCAAACAGAATATATGCAAATTGATAGACATTTTTTCAGTGATAGTGTATATTTTTTTGTTTATTTGCTTCTGAGTTCCGTGTTTGTCCAGAACTTGTCTCCTCACTGCTTGGTGTTACTTTGCCTGATGATTTTATGTTTCCCAGGAGAATGAAAGTTATATTTGAGCCAAGCAAAACAGAATTTGTCTCTCATCAAAGGTTAGAAGAGGGACAAACTGGGTCCATTGCTTTATTCTTCTCCCTTTCCCCTTACCTAATAATAATAATAATAACATTAAAAACCCAGCTTCTTGGCTGTATTGCTTAAACAGCAGCCTAACATTAGTGGACGGATAGAGAATTATTTACACCGTCTACAGCAGTATAACTGAAATTTGACTCTGCCATTGGTTCTGCTACATGCCATCTGATCTCTAATTTGGGAGAGAGATAAACTGTACTCCTTGTCATTTACTGGAGAATAAGTATTTGGAGGCAAGGCACAGTTTGTGGCCTCCTGGAGCTGAGAGGCGTAAGCTTTTTGCCATGTTAAATGTCATCTGTCATTCCAGTGCCTGCCTGTAGTGTATTAAGCAACTTTAAATTGCATATTGCCTGAAGTTCTGCACAATAAAGATATTATTTATCATTTGTGACTGCTGGAAAAGGGCATCTCTTCAGAGTAACGATGACCAGGAAAAAATAAATGGTGTGATAAATGGAGGGGGGGAGGCCACAGCTTTAAACCATTTGAGACTTGCTGACAGTGAATGTTTAGCTTTGTTATTTGTTTGGTGTTCAAGATTATTCTCAGTGACTGACTTTTGATGGTCTTGGCAGACATGTCTGGCTTGATGAGTAATGGACATTCTTGTGTGTAATGGACATGGCAGCTCTCTTCCTAGGTATGTCTTTGATGGAGTTTTCCTTGGTAGTTCAGGAAAGGAGAAAAAAAAACTATGAAAGGCTTCAACATCAAAAAAATACCAGAGTTGCAGGCTGAAAAATAGGAGTGTGATCTAGACTTAGACATGCTTATATTAAAGCCAACCAAAATTCATAGCTTTACTTAGCAAAGCAAACGTACACTTTGGGCAGTAGGTATTAGATATATGAAGTATGCTTTTCAATTTTGGTCCATTTGTGCAGGCAACATTTTTGTGCTGGTATTTCATCCCCATTTAAATGTAAACTGATCAGTGAGGTGCAAAGAATGATGCAAATGATTCTTTTTTCTCATTTTTTGTTTGGAGGAAGTATATCAATAGTAAAATAGCATAAAAAAGCAATGATACTTTGTTGTAAACTGCTTTTATTTTTTATTTATTTCTTAACAGTACATCCTTTCGGGCTCTGATGACTTCAATTTGTATATGTGGAGGATTCCTCCAGATCCAGAAGCAGGTAAGTGTTATTTTTCTAGATGGGGAAGAAAGAGTGGGGGGCAGGTGTCTGACAAATACTAGACTGGTATTTTTTTAAAATTGCGGTTCTCACACTGTGAATCTAGAGCAACTCTGAGGAAAGCTGGATAGGGAGAGTTTACAAATACCTGATTCAATGCCTGGATAACAGTGGTCAATGCTATTTGAATGTTTTATCATAATGATTTTCTATTTTTTTCCCCTTCCCATGGAATGATTATTCCTCCCATAATAAAGCTGGCAACATAAAATGGTGCTGGGTACACAGGGCGCTCCTTGCAGCTCCAGTGCATTGACCACTTTTCCCCTCTCAGTCCTCCCTGATTTCCAGTGCAGAGGAATTATGCTTTTTTACTTTCTGGGTGGAGGAGCACTATCAGCTAGTGAAAAGGGCCACTTTTGACTTAATTTCTGACCTATTCCCATGCTGGGGCAGACATGATAAGCAAACAGCAGTAGCACAGCTCTGTATGGAAGTACAGCAGAGGGATGTTAAAGGAAAGCACAGTGTGGAAGCAATGTATCAATCGTATTGTGAATGCCAGTGTTGGTCAGTGTCTAATTTGATGTGGTCTAGTAAGGTGTAGGGCTTGGCAATATGACACTCTTAGCCATAAAATGTCAGCATCTCTCTTCTGTTGAAACAAATCACTGCACTTCTAGAAGGATGTTAAATTTTAATTGAAAGAGTCAAGACTTTCAGAACTGTAGTAGTGTTTTCATTTTTAGTGGCTCTGGCTCTTTAAACTGTACATTTTAGTGATATTAAGTACAACTGAGGGCTATCCTGTGGTCTCAGAAGCTTTAGCAATAATGAAAGAAAATTACAAGCTATGTTAGAGGTAAAAGGAAAATATTTTGTTTCTTTTTCAAAGGTTGTTAATAACAGCTGTATAATCCACAGCTGAGAGGATGAATAGCCTTTGGTTAATGGCAGGGTTTTGAGGAAAATGACATTCTAATTTTGGGGTTTTTGCTTAGTTAACCAACATTTCATGTTGCTATCCACAAGTCCTGAAGATGGTCCTGCTAAATACCAGTAGCTTGGCCTTCTGTCTTTGCACAGAGTTTATAGTGATATATCCCTGCTTTTCTTTTTATTTGTGTGATTTTCTTGTACATTTGACACTGGTTTACTACTACTTACAGATTTTTTCTCATAGTTAAAACAAAGATTACATACATTAAAATTTGTATTTATTTTTAAGTTGTATTGTCTGGACTGTAGAATTACATTTTCTGCATGTATCACCATACTGTCCCAACTTCCTTTGTAAAATATGGATTGTAGATTTTCTGTTTATATGGCTGTGATGCTCTTGAAAACTTTTTCCCAGACAGCTGCATGTGACAAACTTTTTAGCTGGGACTTTTGCACAAGGATGATAACTAGTACTTGTTGCAGCTGTAAGCAAAGTAATTACTATACAAAATAATCTGCTTCAGAGTAGTTGTTAAGGATGCCCCTCTGTATAAAAGAGATATGTTTGCAAAAATAGTTGCTATTTACAAATAAGTGATACATTTTGATAAAATAAATTTACATTTTAATTTTTGATTTACCACACGACAATGTCATATCTATTTTGGTCAGGTTTCTTGTCTCTGGTTCTTGTAACTTCAGGAAGGGTGTCATTATATTGCAAAATTTCGGTTACAAAATTAATTACTTAATATCAATTGCCCTCAGTGGTTTCTTAACAAATCAGAAGGTCCAGGAGTAGGAATGTGTATGTCTTAATGTCTTGTAACTTGAGCAGTTCTCTTTTTGAAATATTTTAGCAAGACTCACAAGCTTGGTTTTGTTAGACCCAGAGGTCCACTTCTGTGGCAAATAACTAATTGGGCATCCAGATCACCTGTGATGGGCTTATTGAAGCTTTTGTTTTCTCCATTCAGCTCTTCTTGAAGGGTTGTGCCCATTTTAAATGTGATGAAATGCCCTTTCTTAAATATTATCCTGCTGTTCAGAATAATTGCCAGAGAGAGATGTTGCTGTGCTTCCTTTTTGGAGAAATAATCTTGCCATAGGGATGTAAAGATTTTGGAAAACTTTTGCTTCAGCGGAAAACTCCTCATTCTTATGTTCTAGCCAAAATAAGAGTGCCTTTGGGTTTGTGATCTGAGAGAGTGGAATGTGGTCTTTCACTTAAAATAGTGTGCAAACTAGACAGGATGATGTAATGTCCTGTACTGTTGGTTGGTATTTTAAATAAAAATATCACTCTAAATGATTTCTGCCTTCCGGTTGAACTCAGACATTGTGTTGCTATAAATATTTATGATACAACTCCCTTAAATTGTATCAGTTATTTGAAAATAGGGAAGTTTTTTTTTAAGCTTATATAATTTTAAACAGCTGCATCCTTAACGACAGCTCTGAAATTATTTTGTTATAGGTGCACCAAGTACTGGTTATCCAATGGTGAGCAACATTAGTGAACAAAAGATGAAGAGAAGTGTGAAGGAACACACCAGTCAGGCAGTTGCAAACATATTTCAAGTTGGAGATATGTGGTTGCCTGTACTGGTATTTTGCCAGGAGAATAGAACAAATTCTGCTGTTGGTTTTTTCACATAGTCATAGTTTGGAAGTATCCCTCCAGTAGGTTGCATTAAATCATTCTCATAATCAGCTGGAATCTGCAAGCGGTTTTGTTTAGTCCAATAATTAGGCAGTATTTTTGCCACCTTTGGGGGCAGGACGGTATGTGATAAAAGGTATTTCTTAAATTATTTAGGAAGCTATTCTGTTGATGAATCTTATTGACTGTCTCCCTCTATAGTCTTAGATTATTCTGAATAGGCTGGGATTTTCTATGCCAGAAGGTTGGTTGCTTTTTTACCACCTTTTGTATTTTCTTAAAGATGGAATAGTTTGCTCATTTTTCCACTTTCATCTCCATCCAAGTACTATCCAGCTTTCCACTGTGCTTTAGAAGTAATTGCCAAATGTTTCATGAATTTATTAGCCAGTTTCTTCTTTAAAGTAATCTGTGGAAGTATCACAGTTTTTTTCAGTGGCAGCTTCTAGCAAAGTTAATACATAAGTTTGGCAGAAGAAAAGCAGTCCTGAATTTCCACAGCTTTTACTTTACTCCAATGCAAGCTGGAAGTGAGAAGAGACATCAGTCCTACATGATTTGTCCAGCAAGCCTACAAACATATGAGCACTTAAGACATTATTAAACCTAACAGTAATAAACATGGTCTATTAGCTGGTAAAGAACCCCTGTTCAAGACAGAACCTGACATGTCTTGTGGAGTAATAGAGGGTTTAGTAGACTAAAAGTTTTCAAAACGGAATTTACATTCCTCACTCACTACTCTGAATCATCTATGCAATTCTTGCTTTTGAAAGATTGCTCAAAGCTGCTGTGTGAGGGATATGGTATTATTTGTGATTGAGAAGACAGCTGAGGATCCTTCAGTTCATGTGAGCAAGCTGTCACCATGTTCTGAAAAATTTTACTAAATCAGAACAGCAAACTGCATTTCAAAACTTCTTTTTAATTCTGCCTTTGACTGTAACTGCAAGCAAGAAAGGGCCGGTCATTGTGGTCCAGTTACTAAACTAATTGCACAAATTTTCAGCAGAACTGATGCAATTTTTCTTCCTTCTTTTCCTCCTCCTTGGTCTTTGTAAATGCTGGCACTTCTTCAGGCTTGAAGAAAGCAGGAACAGATCTTTTCAGGATACTTGAACAGGGCTATCTCATTGGAGACAGCTTGTAGTTTAAGTTTTCAAAGTTCTGGGCTGATAATAATTTTTTATTAATCTTCATTTAAGTGTTTCTTAATGTCTTTAGCTATTTTTGAGATGTTTTATATATGGATACACATCCATATATGCATACCACTTGGTTGGGACAGGGAAAAGCCATCTGACCCAGTGGGGAGCATGCTCTTGAAGGTTTGTGTTTTTTAAAAAAAATTATTTTTCTGAGGTGTGGTCTTGGGATATAAACTGCTTTACATTTAGGACTGTAGTTTGTCTCTTTCTCCAAGTCAGTCGGTGTTGACCAAATTGTGCTGTGGAACAGTCGTTTGATTAAGACAGTGAGTAAGTGCTGGGTCATTGTAGGAAAGGGTCTTGTATTCGGAGGAACTGAGACTGGCTTCTGTGTCATTTGGATCATAGTAATACCACGGACCTGTGGAACGTACTGGCCAAGTGGCACCTGTCAGAAAACAAGACAGTGTTGGGTGCCTGGTAGTCCTGTAGACAAGTGAACAAAGATTCAGCATCCAAGAGTGTTTCTCTCTCATCAGCCTTAGTATGTTAAATATCTGATTCAGGAATAGAAAGCTGAAGATAACACTGAGCACTGGGAGAGGCTGGAGAAGCTTTAGTCCCTAGCAACTGGCCATCCAATTGTACAAAACCTCCTTTCTCTTGGTTGTATTGAAAATGTTTTCAGTCACCAGTGCAAAATAAATGCACAGCCAAGCAGTTAACACTTCCATTAAAAAAACCCAAACCCAACCACAAAAAAGCAAACAAAAAAAACTCAAGCAGACAGCTATTGGTTGTGAGATAATTTCACTTCTTTCTATCTGTTATGTTCAGAAAGGATGTTTTTTGGTGGTAACTTCCATGGTTCCAATAACATTGTGAAACCTGTTGGAACCTATGCCATTAAGTACAGCAAAAAAAGCAATGTCTCTCTGACCAGGAGGGGGAACAGAGTGGGAAGGGTGTGCTAAAGTTTATTTCTATAGTAATTTTGTCTTAGCTTTCATATTGTTGTTCAGCTGTTCTGGTGATAACAACAGAGGGAGGGTTGGGATAGATAAGGTGTATGGCAGATATTTAGAAGCAACAAAAGAAGGGAGAAAATATACATCCAAAAATAGCCACTACCACTACAATATTATGTATAGTCTTTAAATGTTTAAATATTACTTTTCTCTTTGGCTTTTGGAGACCACTGTGGGGCTGGTTCTAGGCATAGGCCAGGCAAAGGAGTTGATTGCCTG